ATTCTAACAAGCCACCCACTTTAGATAAGGCTGATGCTGGGACTCCTGGTTGAATTCAGAGTTCTCAGAGTTTTGAGCCATTGCATGCTCATGGCTCTTTTTAATTAAACCTTTATCTCCTCCATGATTTAACTTTTAAAGCAGCCATCATGGAATATAGCATGTGCTGCAGTCCTTTTCAAAACAGCATTGAAATTCTATCATTGTTCTTACAGTCAACCTTTGTTAAGGTAAAGCTGAAACAATAAACCTCAATATTAAGTAATGATCTAGATCCTTTAAAGTGACCATAAAAATACTGCACTGGTGATTGAATAAGGGACCTGGTGGTTGATTTTGAGTCATGTAATTGAAAGGTTTCTGTTCTTAAAGCCAGTCACAGGAGGCTCACTTTGTGACCTTGGAAGTGACGAACTTCTCTGAGAGTCTTTGTTTTTCCTGCCAATCACAGGTAGTAGGAATTACTTCTAGGGCTCTTATGAAGATCTATGAATTAAGAAATGCAAAGTGCCTATCATTCCACTGGCCTCTGAGTATGTCTAAGGAGAGGATAAATCTTAAAAGACAAAAAGCAATTGTAAGCATCTAAATATGTGAAATCCTCACTAAAGTCTTCCGTGTGAGGATCTAACACAGAGCAGTCTCTTCCCTTCAATCCTCCAGCTCATCCTTTTCTCATCTTCTCCTGACATCAAGGGCCGCATTAGAGAAAGGAAGCTGCAGAGGGACAAATTGAGGCTTAAGTTGAAAAAGAGACTGTGGAACCACTTTGGCTTAACAATGAGAGACTAAAATATATTTTGAAGAGACTTTCTTTTTCAACCCTTATTAATAAAGACACATCTTTCTTTCTTTTCTGACTGTCTGCCTGAGTCAAAACCAGATATAAGAACTCCTTGGTAGTCTGTTTGAAGGTGTTCGGGTCCTTTGAGACATATGAGATAAGAGAGACTGGGGAGTAAAGTATAGATGTTGGTTTGGTATCATCAAATAAAAGCTACTGCAAACTTCAAAAGGAATCATCTTTTTCCACTAAATAAATTGATCTTTCTTAACTGAATACTTTTTCTTTTCTTTTTTTAGAAATGGAACCAAAATATACTTCCATAAAAATTTTGGCCATATTGAGAAATATTTTAATGCTATCGTAAGATTTGTAAGTGCTTTGCTAGTTTCCAGAAACTACAATTTTTATCGTATACTGCTCAAATTGAAAAGCTGTAAAAAAAAAGAAGTGACTTTTCCTGTCTTTGCAATAGTTGAAAGTTACACAATACCAGTTTTTCTGTTTGTTCCTTATCAGTGCAATAATACCGCAAGAATTGTATTTGGATGAAGGCCTATGTCTTCCCAGCAGTTCCAGTCTTGTTTTTGCTAACCTGTCAATTTAAAGAAGTGGCAACAGCTATGTTTCCCATTAGTAAACAAAACAGAATAGCAAGAACGGATGTGTGTTCTCAGGGCACTGGAATCCTAGTGACAATGCAAAAGTCCCGTGAACACGGGATTGGTGTCGCTGTGGGGCCGACTGGAGGGCATTCAACGTCCCATCAGTCCTTGAGATTCTTTCTACTGCAGAACTGTGAGGAACAGAAGCATGCTTCTGCTGATTATCAAGCCAGAATAACTGGATCTTCAGCAAACCAACCCATCTCACATACTATCCCCTGTGAAGGAAGAAGTGGGGGTACTATCTTTCATGCACTAGACTCTGGAAAGTGAGAAGGAGACATCCCAAGGATGTGTTCCTTTAAAAATTACATTGGCTTGCTCCACCTTTGCTACCTTTGCTAAGGGGAGAAATTGTTCTGTTCTGAAGTGAAAGGTGAACATTACCAAAGCCTTGTGAATTTTGCTTCGGTTGATTTAAAGGGCCAATTCATAAGGACTGACTTCATCCTGCCACTTTAGATCCACTGAAATGTCCTTTAATAATCAACTTTCATATTAATAGCTTTACTGTGCAGGAGGAATCAAATCAATATATAATATAGTGGCTCCTCCTGTCAGGGGCATTATTGGTTCTATTACTAACGATTTTGAAATGATATGCCATTATGCAAATTCCATTTGTTTTAGATGTCTTTGCCAGGGACCTACAAAAGTACTTTTTCCTTTTTTTTCATCTTTGATTTTCCAGTATCATAGTTACCAAGTACTTCAAAATTTCCTAAGAATTGTGATCCGATGAATAGAGATATACTAGTGATAAATCATAAATGCTTATTTTATATGCAAACAAATTGTGTGGAGCTGTATAACTAGATTTCTCATACTCATCAGCTATTCAAAGTATAGAAAATAGGTCAGGTGCGGTGGCTTACACTTGTAATCCCAGCACTTTGGGAGGCCAAGACTGGCAGATCGCCTGAGGTCAGGAGTCCCAGACCAGTCTGGCCAACATAGTGAAACCCTATCTCTACTAAAAATGCCAAAATTAGCTGGGCGTGGTGGCGGGCACCTGTAATCCCAGCTACTTGGGAGGCTGAGGCAGGAAAACTGCTTTAACCTGGGAGGCGGAGGTTGCAGTAGGCTGAGATCGCACCATTGCACTCTGGCCTGGGCCACAAGAGTGAAATTCTGTCTCAAAAAAAAAAAAAAAAATCCACTAGAGGATTTAAATACTTATGATATTCACCAAGGATTAGAAACTGTATGTTGTTCAGTGATTTATTTATTTGTGAATAAGTTGCATTGTGAACATGAAATGGGTACCTTTTATACACATTTGCCCTATTAGCAAGGCCACTTCTACTAACCCCACTGTGCTTTATTTCTATAATCTAATAAAATAAGTGATGAGATGCAGAGTGGCTTGCAAATACAAAACGGAGCAATGTAACGTCAGATGTTTTTAAGTAATGTTAACGTGAATATTGCAACTTGACTCACAGTGAGGGGTTTCAGTTTGATGTACCATACAATGAAGCATCTTGATAATGGACATCGGACCATCAAGTCTGGAGTACAGTAGCATGGCCCTTTCATTGTCCAGCAGCACTTTCCTACCCTTGGTCTCACCATGCTGTTTTTGTAGAAATGTACAACTAACGTTTACGATTGCAAGACTGTGAGATGGAAATGAATAACCAAAATTCATAAGTTTTGTTGACAAAGAGGAGAGACATTTGGCAGTTTTGTGTAGGGTAAATTTGATCTAATTTACAACATCAAATTCAGTTCTAATGAACAAATAATCATCGCTCCTTACTTCCATCCTCTTGTTCTTTCTCTAATATTTTATATTTTTTGGATATTAGGCAACAATGAAATACTCTAGTGCAGTCACCACAGGCTATTTTTTATACTAAATGGATTCTAAACAATAGTTCTAAAAGGAAGGAGCTGTTCACAGTATACATGTAACTGGACATTATCATGCTGTTGGTAGTTTTATAAATATCTAACTACTCTTTAAAAAATGATTGTGGCTTTAGTCACTTATAGCTGTTCATCCAGGGTTCATATTTCAGTATTTGAGGACAGAGCTGAGATAGAAAAGGCAGTCTCATGACCTGCAGCTTCTCAGGAGTGAGAAATTGGAATGTGAGTATCATTCAGGGATGTTCTTTAGCTGAGAAACAGAGAGTATGTTACTGGGTTTCAGGGGACCAGAACCAATCATTTGGTCTCAGTTCTACAATGCTGAGCCAAAAAGCAAGACTTACACATATGGCATTAGGGGCTGGGAAATTCAGAGAATTAAAAGTATCTTCTACCTATGACTCCTTCATATTAGGAAAGAAGACTGATATTCTTTGGCATGCATAGATCTAATGAAACTTGATGGCTTGGATAAATACAATGAAACAAGATTATAAACCAAATTCCTTTCAGAAGGCCTAAAAATCTCCACCAAAATTAAAGAATGTCCATGCTGTTAAAACTCTGTGTCTACAAACACTCATTGTTTCAAAAACATTGATCAAATTGTTCTTCGCCAATGTTATTGGAAACATTGTTCAAGACAAATCAGTGTTTAAGAGCCTTCTAATAAGTTGTAGTATATGAAGTGTTTAAGTCCTTATTAATTAAAAGGTAACATTAGATTGGTTTATTTTCATGGTCATCAAGAATGCTTAGGGAAAGTTGGGATTTGCAAAATATTTGCATTTGTCCTACCGGTCCGTCAGTCACTCATAGCCATAGGACCATAGGGCAAGAACTGCTAAAGGTTGGATTACAGGAAGAATTCTCATCAAAACACCTCGGTGTATTGGCGATGTTTGAAAGTAGTGTAAATGCCGTGTTTCGTAGAAAGTTAAAACTCAACTTTGGGAGAAAAAAAAATAACTACATCATCATGACTCCCACCTGCTGCCACCCCACTTTCAAAACCACTGTTGTGAGGCCACAGCTTCCATCTTTAGAAAGACAAACAAAACATGAACGACTTCCTGCTGTGGTCTAGCTGGAGAAACTGACTAACCTGAATGAGAATTTGATCCTAAGACATTGGGTGGGGTGAGATAATTTGACTATATTTTCTTTGTGATGTTTTTATTCATTTATTTTAATAACAATTTATGATAAAATATTGTGTTTGGAACTATAATAAAGCACAATGAAGGAAAAAAATGACCTGTAAGCCTATTGCTGAGAGATAACCTTTATTAATATTTTGATGGGTTTTTTTTACTTGTTCTAAAGGAGTGAACTCCAGGGCACAGCTTAGACAATCAATGGTTGAGGCATTTACTAAATTAATAATTTTTCGTTTCTTATAATTATGATCTGTGTTTTTCCGCTTTTCCTTCTTATGATGATGACAGACCTATTAGTACTTAACGCTGTGTTTTACCTAAAATAATTCTGTGGCCCTGGGCAGGGGAGCTGTGCACTGGGTGACCTCTCCGATCTTTCACACCTATCTGATACCCATTCTTGAAGAAAAAACTCACAGTACAGAAGTTTCTCGATTACTGTCAGTCTGAAAGTGCAACTGGTTAACCTTGCTTTCCTCTTCTCTATGTTCCTTCTCTTCTCTTTCCTCTTCCCCTTGTTCGTCAATTTCTATTCTCTGTTTCAGCAAAACAATATCAGTCAAGGTAATTGATGATGAGGAGTATGAGAAAAACAAGACCTTCTTCCTTGAGATTGGAGAGCCCCGCCTGGTGGAGATGAGTGAGAAGAAAGGTGGGGGAGCTGCTCCAGGGCTGAGCCCAACAGCTTCTGCTGGCCTGTGCCACCCCTGGATGCCTGCACTCTTCAGAACGTGACTTTCAGTGCACACATCCCTCCACCTATGTAACAGGGCACAGATCTCATGCTGAGCCACGGTGGGCGGGCCCGCGGCTACATCAGCCAGTGTTGGTTGCTCTGCACATTAACATCTGAGAGATTAATTTTCAGGGCAGTCAATCAAGCGTCCATTTCCGGGAAAGTTGCTGCAGACGCTATGCAATGCCAAAAAGGAAGGCAACTTTCTGATTTACCTTCCTAATTTGGGGTACTAAAATGAGCAAAGAAAACTTAATGGGTGCCAGCCGAGAGTACCAGGATGCCCTTTTACATACTTCAGGAGGTCCATGTGCTGCCGGTTCTCCCTCCATAACATCACAGTAACATTCAGCTTGGTGGACACCAAGAGCATGAGCGTGTGACTCCAACCATCTGTTTTGCCTTTGTCTTGTGTTCCCACAGGAAGATCATTACCATTAGAATATTTGACCGTGAGGAATATGAGAAAGAGTGCAGTTTCTCCCTTGTGCTTGAGGAACCAAAATGGATAAGAAGAGGAATGAAAGGTGTGAGAGTAAACAAAGACATACCGGCGAGAAATTGTGCTCTTCTCTCTCCGTGTCTCCCTACTCTCACACTTAACTCTCTCCTCTTCCTCGGCTTCCAAGTACTATACTTCATTGCCTTTGAATCTTTAGCAGTTTCATTTCCCTTCCCTAATTCACAAGTGCAACGGGCAATGCCCACTCTCTTCAGGAAAGGCCAACTAACCTTGATTGCAACCAGATTTAATAACACTGGAAGAGATTTCTGTAATTCAGAAATTACATAAAATAATGTGTTTAGTTTTCCACTACTCACGGTTTATTCTAAAATGTCACTTCAATTATTAAATCTCCCCTAAAATTTTAGTGATAAAGACTGCTTAATACCTTGTCAATCATACCTCAATAAAGCTGGAAAAAAGAAACTGCTTAATACCTGTTAGTATTAGTAAGTGACCCTAATGGCAACTAACAGGAAACTTCGGAATTCAGTAATTAGGCTTCTTTAGAGAACACTGTTTAAAAAATTTTAATAAGAACAAAGATCCTTAAAGAGTAGTGTTATCAATATTCTAGTGCTCATTTTTGCATATTTTTGTATCATCAAATATGACATTTAAAAGGCACCTCATATATGAAACCATAGTCATATCTCATATCAATTTTCTTTGGTCAGAAGAATAGGCCCCTTCAGTAAGATGTTAACCCTTGGTGAAGGCCTACCTAGCCTTATGATCCAAAATCTCTTGCTCCTTATTGAATTAATCAATTATTAACATATATAGTAAAAATAAAAAATAAGTGTCTTTTATAACTAGACGTTGCTGATTGTACTTACATTTTTAGAAACTATTTGAACAAACTAATTTTTCTTCCTTAGATACCTATTTTATTAATATATGGCCTATATTTCATAAGGAAGATAGCAATCTTCTATCAGCTTTACAGAGGATTTTTCATTCTGCATTGTTAATAGGGCTTCATATAATTATCCTCTAATCATGGCCATTTTAAAAGACATTCTGTTGATTTATTTGTTATGTAAATGAGCAGACCACATAGTAATAGCTCTTATTAATTGCATACAAACAATTGGTGAGAGCATTACGATATGATGAGATGGGCCACTTTGTAAGAAATTTATACTTTTACATGTAGAGGGAAAAATAAAACATACAGGACTTACTGCTATTTAGACATATAGGAAAATTTATCCCATGTTTTTGAGAATTCATTAGCCTCAGAGTTCATCAGGGAGAAGAACACATATGCCCCTGTGTTAATCAAGTTCAAGATGGCAACGGGAGCCTTCGGAGTGATGGGAAAAGGAGCACTCAAGATCCGTTTTAATGCAGCCTATTTAATATGCTCCATGGACAGAGGAAAAGGAGACCAGAAAATTGTGCAGATTCCTTACAAAGATGGTATCCAAAATGCCTCATTAATATGCAGGAAAACACACTTTTCTAAATGTATTTCTCCAAAGAACTCTCTTTTATCTCAAGGAGGAGCATCTTGGATTCTGCTCTTTCAATTGTCATTTTTGTAAAAAATGTCCTCACGTAACAGCAAATTAAAATTCCTTAATAACACTATCCAGTTTTGCACTCTCCAGGTGGATTCTTGTCATTATAAACAAATTACTGACTTTCTTTAGAAGTATCCTCTAATGCCATGATCATGAGAGAGAAAACTGGGTCCAAAAAGTAATTGCAACATTCCCATCTTCAACTCAGGAAATACTTTGATATATTTAGTGAGGTTCCTTTTACTAAAATAAAGTGCTACAGTGCATTCTGGGTTTAAAGCACATAACCTGAAAGACAAACTGTATAAATTATATCCCCCCCCGCCCCCGCCCCAATGCCCTGTCAGTTTCATGGGATTATATGTCCACTAGAAGAACTGTGGTTATCTAATAATGTGCAGAAGACACAGATAAGGACACAAACAGGTGTTAATTCTTGGAACTATTAGGCTTTAAGGATTTTAAAACATAAGCAATTCTTGGTGGACAAAATGTCATCCAGATACATTCCAAGACAGTGCTTTACCTTGGTCTAAACTCCCCCTCCAGGCAGGGAATGCTAAATGGAATTTCCCAGGATGTTTCACCTGTACTTATTGAATAAAAGAAGTAATGTCTGAGATCCTGGGTGATTTAAGACTTCCATTACATTGGATTGACCCAATCCCAGGCAATATTTAATGGGGAAGCTCACTTATATCAAGTTATAAATGAATTTCATACAGTGTTTCTACTGTATTTGGTAGACTAGATTTATATACTAGATATAGAGAATAGAAATGTCTTAATGTAAAGAAATTACATATAAGGTGAAATATACACACACACACACACACACACACATATATGTGTGTGTATATATATGTATGTGTTCAATCACACACATTTTCAGAAATTTCAGTTGGGATTGTTTATTCCCAATGGTGTATTTCTTTGGGGTGTATATATTTTTAGCAGTGGCTCCCTACCACTCTAAATCAGATCTGCCTGGATTTCTTTCTGCTGATATTCCTCTTACTTTCATTATTCATCTGGTCTCTTATTCTGTGTTTGTCTTTGTCTGTTTCCTTCACAGCCCTGTTATTGAATGAGCTTGGTAAGCATTTCATTTCTTGCATTTCCTTTCCATTTTTCTAGATGATTTTCCATTTCTGTCAGGTGATATAGTAGCTCTCTGACTTTTATTTCTCTTGATTTGCTAGCAAGATTGTTGTTCAGGGCCATTGACCTCATTTTGTCAAGGTCAAATAGTTTATATTGCATTTTTAATTTAGTGCAACCTTCACTTTGGGAGGCCGAGGCGGGTGGATCACGAGGTCAAGAGATCGAGACCATCCTGGTCAACACGGTGAAACCCCGTCTCTACTAAAACTACAAAAAATTAGCTGGGCATGGTGGCGCGTGCCTGTAATCCCAGCTACTCAGGAGGCTGAGGCAGGAGAATTGCCTGAACCCAGGAGGCGGAGGTTGCGGTGAGCCGAGATTGCGCCATTGCACTCCAGCCTGGGTAACGAGCGAAACTCTGTCTCAAAAAAAAAAAAAAAAAAAAAAAAATCAGTGATTTCTTAGGTATGCAAAAGAATTAAATTGGGCATTAAATTCCATAATCTTGAAAGAATGATTAGTGATTCAGTCATGAGTGTTTTCCTATTCTTAATTATAATTTGGCAAATACCTTGGGTGGGTTGTCGGACAGTCTGATGTCACTGGTGTTTGTCATATAGAGTGTAAGTGAAATTATAACACTTTTTTTTTTCTTTTTTAGGTGGCTTCACAATAACAGGTATGAATTTTATGAGCCTAATGCTATCTAATTTTATTTTTACTGTCTGTTCTTACCAGATGTTCTTGCATTAAAAAAAATTTCTCACTTTTATTTGCTTTTAATGAAGGAAAATACCTGTATGGTAAGACTATTTTTTAAATGTTCCTTATTTTCCCCCAAATACCCTTAACAATCAATCCAAACACACATCTTATGTAACCTACATTAATATTTAACTGTGGCACATGGTGTGCTCTTGCTGATTTTACGTTTTACAAATTAATAACATGTGTGTGTTATGTTTATAAGCAGCTCATACGGAGAAATTGTAATTGTTCATATTTTGACACTGGTCAATTTACGAATGTTCACATAGTGCCAAATAATGTACAGTGCCCTGATAGAGGCTCCAAAGAGCACTAGAATAAATAAGACATAAGTGCTAGCCTCAGGGAAGCACAGGGGCTGACATTCTAAGATAGATCCATGGTTCAAGCTCAGGATCCTAATAATACATAAATGACATGTTGAGAAAATACATAAAAATACATAATTTTTACACAAAAAAATTCATAAAGTATACAAATACATAATTTATAAGACATAATATAATACTATGTTGAGCACAGCCTTCCCCTCATCCTATCACACCAATCTGAGCATCTCTCTAGGGACTTAGGTTTTAGTATTAATAAAATGGTGACAAGCACTATATCTGCCACTTTAAGTATATTACAAAATACTCTATAAAAACTCAAAATGTCAATAAAAAAGTTTAAAACACTTAAATTTAGAATGGTACTCAGCCTGTGTTCACTGCATTATTTAACACAACTCTAAAGCTATATTCTTGTGTACAAAACAAAGATATTTCCTTACAGCCTTCTCTTTTGTCTCTAAGTATCTTCTCACCCTTTCAGAGTCATCTGTGCACATTTAGAGAGAGAGATAAATATTTAAACAGCAGGGCTGATTTGTCTGAAGCTGTAGGCTGAAGATGTCTTAAATGGCCTACATCCTATATCACTATGTGACATCTTCCAATATATTGTGAGATATCAATCAGAGATCTGAACAAAAATATTTAGAAGGAAATAGTCTTCAAATTTCTAATAGTGAAAATACCATGTCGGGAATTGGGATCAGCTTAATCCACTGTTAGTGTAAACTCATGAACAAGCAGTTCCAATGTGATTCTGTCCAAAGTAGAATTTTCTAAATATGTGCAGTTGCATGTGGGCAATTTCACATGGGCTTTTGCTCTCCACTGCTTCTCTCTAGACATGGCATTTACTGACAAAATGATTCATAGACTTTCGGAGACACAGAAGTTGAAAGGGATAAAAATGTTAAACAGGACAAGTCTTTGTATTGGACTTCTTAAATCTGATTCATCTGAAGCTCTTTCAGGTCAGATCGCCCCAATTCTGCACCACTAAAGGTTATTTCTTAAATCAACTGCAGGAATTTATACTTATTTTTTTAACACTTTTGTCTCTTTTTTCTCATTCCATCATTTTAACTGCTTGAAGACCCCTTGTAAATACTCTGTCACCCACGGATAAACTAGTTATCCCTGGGAGATTTGAAAATGTAGAAATTTGGCAAGCCAGTCTTTATGAATGAAGTAATAATGTTTTAAAGTCAACCATTATAGAAATAGTATTCTATCCAACAGCACCTTCCATCCTATAAAGCCTGATAAAGAGACCTTAACTAAGCCAGGTGCACTGGCTCATGCCTGTAATTCCAGCACTTTGGAAGGCCAAGGCAGGTGGATCGCAAGGTCAGGAGTTGGAGACCAGCATGACCAACATGGTGAAACCCTGTCTCTACTAAAAATACAAAAAATTAGCCAGTTTGGTGGTGCGTGCCTACAATCCCAGCTACTCAGGAGGCTGAGGCAGGAGAATCACTTGAACCTGGGAGGCGGAGGGTGCAGTGAACTGAAATCGTACCACTGCCCTCCAGCCTGGATGATAGAGCAAGACTCTGTTTCAAAAAAAAAAAAAAAAAAAAAAAAAAAACTTTATTAAAAAAAAAAAAAAAAAAAAAAAAAAAGACCTTAACTAAAAATCTGTGGCTACTAGGATGCTCTGTTAAAAATCACTGATGTGTTCAGATATCTGTTTTCTCTATTATTGAATATGTCAGGATTTTGTTTTAAGGCCCTTCTATGTCATTTGAGCCATACTCTGTTAGTATCTTGGTTAATGGGTTCCTAGTTTTCTTAGAACTTCCTCACATCAAATTCTGGTAATGTCCAACATTTCCTGTGTTGGCCATATCTGGCATCTAAGATGACAGAATCACCTCCTCCAGAGGTGTCTATCATTTCATGTAGTTAAGTTCTTTCTATGGCTGAAACTTTAATCTGAAATGGCAGTTTTTCTATTGCTATCACCTCTTCCCAAGACTTAAAAGTAATGCAGTCAGAACAAGAGACTGTCCCAGAACTCTGGGAATTTCTGCACTGGCCTGTCCATTCCTACTTTCCTAGAAACTCTCTCGCTTTACATGACCCTTCTTCTCCTAAATCAAACCAGAATGCCTAGGATCCACTCTCTACTGATGCCCCTGAGGACAGTTCTAAAACTTAGGTCTACAGCGAAAAGCAGCTTTAAGCCCTAAAGAACTTTTCTTTGAAGTCAGTTGGAGGCTTTGAAGTCCAGGCTTTGAGATGCAGAGGCAGTAAGAAGAATTAATCTAGCCCTGGGACTTTGCCTGCAGCTTTTACATGGACTTGTACAGCTGAATGTGAAAAATCTCAATTTGAAGCAGGATATATGGAAATTGAAAAAGTCATCTGATCCACAGCCTAATACCAGTATTTCAGAGATCTGATTCATGGTGGACATTAAGTGTTGCACGTGCTTTTGGAATCTGCAGACTTTACCTATTTTTTCCAGACCTTGCCTCAATGAAAGACCCTTGTTTGGGCCTATGATCTCATTCCCCTTTGACCTTCCAGTCGTATGACAAGATAACACTCCAAATATTATAGCTCATTAGAGTTTGTAAAGATTTCTTTTTCATTATATCACTTTATCACCAACCTTATGGTGTAAGACATTATCGTTCTCATGTATAGGGGAGGAACTGAAGGTTTAAAGAAATTAATGAGGACCTCCCCCACCCCAGCACTGTTCTGTTTCCTCCCCTCTAGCGTCTTTATTTCTACCTGCATCTTGAAATTATACACTGAACCCCTTTTCTACTTAAAACCCAGATCTATCTAATAAGTTCCATCATTATACATTCCAGTTAAACAAAAAATGAGAAGTACCCCAGAAGGGGGAAACTAGACCATATAAACATGAATAGTTTAATAAATTAAGTATTCTGGCTCAATATGGAGGGTATAATGTATGTTAGATCCCCAGAACTTCTAAGACATGCAATTATAGAGTTCTCTAATTAATTAAAATTTATATCAGTCAGTATAACTATTTAATATTACTCCTCCAATCATACTGTGCTCATCACATAATACACTTAATAAGACACGAGACTTTTTAAGGAAGCCAAACTGTGAAAATTCTGACAGTTTAAAATGTTTTCATCACCTCAGTATGCAGGCTGGAGGAACAAAGCCCCTTCAAATCCAGCTTCGCTTCAGAATTGAGAAGCCTGAGAGTCAGAGAGGAGAAAGACCTTGCCCAAGTTTAGCTGACAAGCATATGGCAGAGGTGGCACTGAATCCCGAATCTCATGATGCCCAAGTCAGTTACGGGTAGCTGTTGGTGGAGGCAAAAAGCAAGTGAATCTGGAAGTCTGCTGAACCAGGAGTTCAATAACAACCCTAGGCCTATGTTAACCCTAGGTTATCCAAACAGTTGCTGTGATGATGACCTACGTTTGCAAAACCTGCAGGTGCACATAACACTCTCCCCTTCACACTGCTCAGAAAATAAATGTACTAAGCATATCCCCAGATGTTGTGTTACTTGATCCTCAAACAAACCTGTAACATAGACAGAGCAGGTACTATTATCATCATTTTACATGGGGAGAAACTGGAGAAATGGCCTATTCAAGGCTATATCGTTGGCACGAACAGGCTTCACAACCACAACACCTGCTCCATGATGCTTCTGGAAGCGGTATCTTGAAGGACCTTGATACACCATTTAAGACACCTGTAAGAATCTGGCTGTACCCACTACCATGGGGCTTGTGGTTTGCTAACATAGCCTGGTTTGACTCATGAAATACTTCCCCATCTCTGAGCAGTGACCGACCTCCATCAGTAACCTCCACCAGAGCTCCCTTCTGTGACCTACCTAGGGGTGACCTATGACCACTTAATCCCCAAACTAACATTGCTTGTGATGTGTGCATCTGAGTGTGATGTTTAGCTTACTAATTCCACAAATCTCTGATACCAAATCAATGCAATCCATTCTGCTGATTTTTCTGCCTGTCCTTTTGCTAGGCCAACCTGTCTTCAGGAAGGTTCATGCTAGAGAACATCCGATTCCCTCTACTGTAATCACCATTGCAGGTACTCATTTCATCATGATCCTTGAAAACCACAGCCTCCAAGAGTTCTTTAATCTTTGAGACATTAGAGTTATGCATTTTAGCCGCTCTCCTCTTGCTCTAAAACATTGCTAAATACTGCTACAGCTTCTCTGGCAGCCAGTGGTATGGTGGATCACAGCGAAACACAACCACATCGGGGCAGAAAAAGAGCACTGAGGAGGGGGCAGCATCAGCCTACAGAGAAGAATGATCCCGTGGCCTCTCTCTCCTGAGTTTCAATATATTCCAGATTTCTTGCAAATATTTTTTTCTCACCATCAGTTTTTATCCCAAGTATAATGAAGTTTATTTATTTATTTACTTTGTGATGGGGATTCATCTCTGTCACTCAAGCTGGAGTGCAGTGGTGGAATCAATCACAGCTCTCTGCAGCCTCAACCTCCTGGGCTCAAGGGATCCTTGCACCTCAGCCTCCCGAGTAGGTAGGACTGTAGGCACACACCACCATGCCCAGCTACTTTTTGTATTTTTTGTAGAGACGGTGTCTCACCATGTGGCCCAGGCTGGTCTGGAATTCCTGGGCAAAAGCAATCTACCCACTTCTGCCTCCCAAAGTGCTAGGATTGCAGGAATGAGTGACCATGCCCAGCCATGCAGTTTTTTTTAAAGCTGAGCTGTATTTCTTCCCAGAGCCTGCCCTTGCTACCCTCAGGCAACATGATGTTACCAGAGATGCAAAGATGATAGTACATCTGTGGGGTTTCTCCATCGGGAAAATACAGGGTGACTGGAGGATTACACAGCTATCCCAGATCCATTATAGGTTTAGAGCCCAAATATCATCTCCTTACATGGAACCTCTGGATGATGACAGAGATATTTACTCTTTAATCATCACTATTGCCCACACTGGCCATGGCAGTAGAAATGCATACGCCTGACACAATAAGACTTTTCTTATCCTCATATCCCACATACCTGTTCAATAATCATGATACCCAGCCCTGACTACAGAGTTGATCCAAATATTCCTAATGGAAATAAAAGTATCAGTCTCCTTAGCCTCCAATCAAAGAGGCCAGCCACGTGCTAAAAAGTGCCAAGAGAGACCTCTGCTTTCTGACTTGTCAGCATAGCTCTGAGTGGAGGATCAAAATGAACTGGAGCAAACTGTCCCATCACTGGCCTTGTACATTTCTCCAAATTCGACATTGTACAGTTTTAAAATGTGACTGCATTAAAGATTACAACAGTGTCCCCTGAGGTAGAGATGTTGATAATGAGATAGACCTTATGGGTTGTGCTGTTTTCCCATTCCTGGCACTTCATCTCTTACACTGATACTGCTTCAAAATGCAGCTTGAACCAGAGAGCATTAGAAACAGCTTTCTGGCCGGAAGCAGTGGCTCATGCCTGTAATCCTAGCACTTTGGGAGGCTGAGGCAGATGGGTTACGAGGTCAGGAGATGGAGACCATCCTGGCCAACATGGTGAAACCCCATCTCTACTAAAAATACAAAAATTAGTCAGGCATGGTGGCAGGTACCTGTGATCCCAGTTACCTTGGAGGCTGAGGCAGGGGAATCGCTTGGACCCGGGAGACGGAGGTTGCAGTGAGCCCAGATTGTACCACTGAGACAGAACAAGACTCCATCTCAAAAAAAAAAAAAAAAAGAAAAAGAAAAAAACCCAACAACTTTCTCAAAATGCTGCTTCTCCCAGATGCCAGGTACCTATTAGCTTTTATTATTTGCTGTTGTTTGTAAAATCAATTACTCAGGAGAAGGGAGAACCTCCACTGGTGAATCTATCCCAGGACTGTTTTATGTCCTGTCAATATTGATTTTAACAGTGGCTGTTAATTATGCATTTGATCTTTAAGTTGTTTGGATTGGTTAAGACTATGATGTTGTATAATTTATTCCCAACTTCTCAATAAAATATGGTGAATTTTAAAGTGTGCATGTACACTCAGGAGGAGAAAGAGAATATATTTTCCGTCTGAGAAACAAAACTAAAACCACAGCATGTTATCTCGTTCTGCAGAAGTAAAGAAATGAAACTGACCTCAGCCATAGTGAAATGATCTGCTTTTGATCCAGTGCTCAAAGAGAAAAGAAAACAAACAAAATAGATGATTAAAATTTTAAAAGTGCTATCAAACCCTTTCCCTATTCAACAGAAAGTATCTAAAGAGAGAAGAGAGAACAGTTTTTTTAAAAAATAGACCCAGCTCTCATTTTTGCCAGTCAAAAATCTAAACCATAAATGTGAATTTATCACTATAACTGTAGAGCAGTAATGGAATCTATACAGCCGCCATTTCTCAGTTACATATAAATAAAAGTTTATGATACTTAAGTAAAAACCGCCCTGACCCTTCCATGACCCTGTACCACTGTACTTTGACTTCTCTCTGCCTGGAATGAACCTTCTCACTCCACCACCTCCTAGCCATCCTTACCATCACCTTCACCAGGCAATCTTCTGTATGTGCTTCAAGGCCAACTTCAAATAGCTCCTCTTTCCTGAGGCTTCCTTCCCTGACTCTCTCAGGCCAAGTGAGTTACTTCCCTCAACCCTGGTCCCCTAGTCCTTAGCACACCTAGAAGTTGTCCATCACATATTCCTCTCCCCGTTACGTCATAAAGTTCCTGGAAGGTAGAGCGGGGAGGGGAGGACTCCAGCTGTTCTGACATGGTATGGAGTACAGTGATATGCTTAATGAAAAAATGATCCCTTTTTATGGGCTGAACAACTAAAAGCCTTTCTTAACAGTGAGTTGGAGAGTCACACAGCAAATACTTACTGAGCACCTCCTATATTGCATATATTATAATAGGCGTCAGAGGACGCAAGGATGATTCAGAGTGCAATGAGACATACTGTTCTATTTCAGTGAGTTTATATGCTGGATATTTGTAGGTAAAGGTAACTAGAAATTTAAGAACAGTATATGAAAATGTCCATGCTTTATACACACAACAAATATTAAGGAATTAATGTAAGGTTGGAGTGGTAGTTCTTAAATCCCCTCAGTCAGCAACAGGGAGTTATTTCATGCCAGAAGAGGTGGGGTTTTGAAAGATAAGTAAGATTTAACCAAATGGAAATTGTGAAGCTTTTCCAGGTGAATACACAACAGGATAAAAGCGTGAAATTAAGAAATCCAAGTCCATTTGAAGCAAGAGTGTTGCAAATGACAGAAACAAGGTGCCTTACTATTTTTCAGGCTAATATGAAGCTAAGACAATATTCCCTTAATTTTTGTCATTCCCATACCTCCTTCACAATTTTTGTCATTCCCATACCTCCTTTACAATTTTTGCTTTTGTTGCATACCAAGTATGCTATTTGCTTGATGCAATGTTTTAAATGGCCTCGTGTTTAAACTTTACTAAGTTTTTTAAAGACAACTTTAAGAAAAACTAGTATCATTTGCCATAAATAGAAAGTAAAATTTAAAAATTTTCACAATGGAAAAAAGTTATTCAGTTCTAGCTGGCTAATGGCAAATGCTCTATCCCTGAGAACTATTTTGACTGTCTATCTTAAAAGGTACAAATCTAAATATTAGGACCTAGTTACAGACCTAACAGCACCAAATTAAGCATTTCTTCCTGATCAGAAAGACTGAAGAATTTTTGGAAAAGAAAGAACCTTTTCACTCACTGTATGTTTTGACTTCATTTACTTAATCCATGTGCAGTTTTTTAATACCATGATCAAAACCGATCCAATGATGTGAAATGCTGCATTTACCAATGCTACCACATCACTTTTCTTTTGTAATTTCTCTATTTTTTTCTATGTAGATTGCCTTAAGTCCCATTAAAAGCAACTTACCATTTATAAGTAAACCACAAAAAGAAGGCTATAGTAAATATTCTCTCCCAATGGCTTCACAGTTTAAACAGATGTCCAAGTTGTAGTATTCCTTCTGAGAAAACCGTTCTTGTTTTACGTTGTCTTCAGCTCATCCATGTTCAACTGAAGTTTCAAACAAAGATGCTAACAGAAACTACTGCTATGAAAACTACCAGTAACATTATCCTGGATACAAGGATCAGAAAGCAGTGGTAATCAAAATGATTAATATCAGTGATCGATAAATTGCACTTCATGTGTCTCAGCTAACTCTCTTGACTAGACACACATAATTTTGCTAGGACAAATCTTGGAGATTCCAACCAGAACCCTTTGCCTTCCGTTGTGTCATGACTTCCCAATTCTACTATAAAAAATATTACCACTTTTACAATTATAATTAATCTCCTTGACCCTCTCCTTTGCCTCTGCTAATATCCAGCAGCTTCTGGTCAGTCCAAAATCATTAATTTTTAGTCTTCATCTAATTTCTTAGGTGCCCTGCAATCTCTGAGGCTAGGAAAGCAGATTTTAAAATAGGCTTTTAGGAAGACACTATAAAATGTATACTAAAGAATTAATCAATATGCTACATTCTGCTTTTGCCTTTGTTGGTTTTGACGTTTGAAATATTAAATGCTGGCAGTGCCTCCAGCCCATTTGCTCCCTGCCCTCGCAGTGAGCAGCTAGCCTAGGAACCATTCCCTCCAACAGTTGCTAAAGCAACGATGGAGCCACCATAGCAGGGTCCCTCAGCAGAGGAAAGGCCATGGTTCTTTGGAATTAATGGGAGGTATGGACTTCTACCGAAGCTAATGTCTAAGTACACCAGGCAGGAAGCCAGGACCAAACATTCTTTTTATTGGATGCCTCGTCAGTCAACAGCCCCTTATTGGAGGCACTTTGTCCAGAAGTCCTAGAAGTGAGGCCATCAGGGCTCAGGTCTTTCCATGTCACTGATATTGTTTCATTGGAGACAATGTTCATTCTCCTTGACTCTGAGAAGTAGCTTGTCTTGTTTCAGCATTCTGGGCCTAAAGGATAAGGGTAATTACAGGACGGGTGTTTGTCCTTCTTATGTGCATGGCCTTTTCAGTCTGGGATTTATCCTAATGACCTTAACACAAAGACACCCAACTGTGAATTTCCCCTCATTAATGGGCTCTTGGATCCATTAACATTTTCTCAGCACCCACTATCCTTTCCTGGACTGTAAGCTACATGGTGGTTCTGGAAATAATCATGCTGACACAGCGAGTGAGTATTTTAACTCCCGAAAGGCCTCACCCTCGCCCTCCCTGTTTACTTTAAGACTAACATGGTCAAGGTTTTCCTAACACATTTTGGCTTTGCACCAGATAGAAGCAGCACTGGAGCCCAGGAATCTCATAGAAGCATGGAATGGATATTTTTCTGTTTAACTTGCAACAGGGTCTCTTGGCAAGAGAGAGACTAAAGTCAGAATTTCCTGTTCCCCATCTCTTTGGGCCTCAGGCATTTTCTATTGCCCCTAGAAAGTGGAGAGGAAGAGGCCAGACTCTGTCATCTCTCAGGGTCACTGTAGGAGTTTCAGTTGTGTTTCCCTTTGGACATGTGCTACAGAATGTATACAAACAGCCGGCTGAGCCAGTGTCACAGGGAACAGCTGGGTGAGTCCCCTAACATAGACAATGTAAAGGCAGAGTCTTTCTCAGTGACATGCCCCATATACTTTTCCTCAACCGTACTTTTGCATGAGCTTAGACAGTGAAACATTATAATCATTTGCTGTCACAATGATATGCTGCCTTACATGCCAAGCATCTGTCCAGCTCTTCCCTCCAACATCATGATCTCACCCAGAGTGCTGTAGTAGGTCATTAGGGCTTCCTTCTGCCTTGGCTTTCCTATGGCAGCATCCAGGGATTTCCCATTGAAACAGAACACAGTGCTCACTCTCTGATACTTCCCTTTCACAGATGAATATGATGACAAGCAGCCACTGACCAGCAAAGAGGAAGAGGAAAGGCGCATTGCAGAAATGGGGCGTCCCATCCTGGGAGAGCACACCAAGTTGGAAGTGATCATTGAAGAATCCTACGAATTCAAGGTATGCTCATCAACACTGCCCACCAGGAGCCAGGCCCACCTGGGGACCGAAACTGTTCAGAGTGTTGGCTGAAGCTGTAAGATCCATCTGGAAAGAGGGGTAGATGTAATTTCAGGAACTGGCTCATTAATTGAGAGCCTTTGGAGCCAAATTGGAATTACACAGTTAATCAGGAACCAAGGAGTCCTGTCAACCTAACAGCATCAGAACCAGGGCCCAGCAGGAGGTATCCATCACTGCACAAGGTCAGATGTACCCCCAAGGGAAGGCTTAACTGAGTGGATAGCAAGCAATATGCCAAGATGGATCCTATGAGATTGTTATGTGTGGAAGAAACCAAGTTCTATTTGAAAATGTTAATACATCTGTCAAAGCAAGGCATTCACACTGCTAAAAATTAGAGGGCTTTTGTTTTGGATGGGGATAGGAATGTCTCCCTGTGGAATATCCCATTGACAAGGTCTCATTTATATTTAATCATCCTCTTCAGATCCAAGGACACTTTAGTACAGTCAATATACTGAAGGTACAATGCCTGCAACCAGAGTTTAGAGTTGAGCTGATAAAATTGGATTCCCAGTTCTCTGGATGATAAAAGTCATTTATGCAGAAGTTGAATGTGTGAGCCTTGGGGTGGAGATTAAGACTTTGAAGTGAAGTTTCCTGTGGATCTTTAGCTGCTCCCTCTGACCCTGTGTCCCCTCCCAGCCCCTCTCCTTTACATGGTCCTAGCATCTGGGAAGACCACAAGGGGAGCCACACCTAAGTTCTGCAGTGAGATGTGAAAAGCACATCCCCTCTCTTGCTTTCCAGAATTACAAACCCAGAGCACAGCAGTATTTTACCTGCTTTTCAAAAGCAAACTGTCCCTGTTTGAAACACTAGAATGAAGATTACAAAAGAGAATCAGACCACCAATTTAGAAGTTTCAGATTTTAGCTGGACTTCTCATAATAGTGGCCTCTTTTCCTTTAGCTGAATCCATTAATTATTTTTTAATTTAGTTCATAAATGGAGGTGCCTGATAGGAGACAGGTGGAAAACAAAATGTCTTTGAAATTAAAGTGGAATATTTTTAAGATAAAAATGCAATTAAACTTTTCCCTTCAGGCCACTGAGAATCTATCTGTTAACTCTTCACTCATTTCCATAGAAGGAGAGGGCAGGGGTAAATACTGAAACCAATGCTTTCTAGGCAGACCTGATCATTAGACGCCCCCTCACACACCCCGTTGTATGACACAGAACTTGGCTTGTTGCACAACCATACCTGGAACAGACACAGTTCCCTTTAATTCCACAAGCCCAAGAATCTCAGACTGTCCATTTCTCGTGATCAGTCTACTGATCTCTTCTCCGTATGTCCAACCTCACTCTTCCTCATTCACCCTGTTTTCATTAGGAATCAGATTGCCTGGTGCCATTTGCTGCAGCAGAGATTCTATGGGTTGGTATTTGTGAAGCAAGCTTGCCGCTGCCCTTTCCTAGAGTTCTCCTGGGAAATCGGGTGTTCTTTCCCTTGTGGGATAATCCCCAACCTTCCCTTCCCATGCACTCATGATAGGAAGAGCAATCGTAATAACTTCCTGCAAGAAGCATTAAGTTAAGTAAGGCAGGGCACAGTCTTTCAGGCAGCAAAGCTTTCTTGGGTCCAAAGTGCTTGCTGATAACCACAATAACGATCTGAGCATTTGAAAGTCCCCCAAGTCTCTTTACAGGAATCTAGTTGTTTGGGGTACTTATCCTTGTGGGACAGCTTCCATAGACTATTTCCTGTCATCTCCTCAAAGTGCATCAGGGTAGTTACCATTAATACCTACAGGGCACGTTAGAGGCATATTTTGGAACTGCTCTCAAGTATCAGTTTTGATTTTATGTTATTTAAGAAATTTCTTTTACTAGAACATAGCTATTTTAAAGAACTTACTCAGAGCTCCCAGAACTGTGCTAGAGACCCAAATCTGGTTGATACCTTACAATGGCCTGCTCTGCTTTACTCACCGAGTTCTTGTTTACTGTGGTGTGACTGAGGACCTGGCCTTACTAACACCCATTGGGGAGGGTGACGTTTTCACAAGCCCTTGAAAATCTAGTGCAGTGAAAAACTGATCACTGACATTTAGGAATCACCCCAGGTAGATACAGACAGCAGTGTCCAGGCTCAGGTGTCTGAAGTTCAACTTCATCTTTATTCATTCCTGTTTCTCCCAGAGGTCAAGGAAGGACACATGTGCAAATTAAGTCCTAGGAAGAACCCTGGATATGGGGTTAACATGAACTACAGTTTAAAATCTACCCTGGGTTTTACACATAGAAGTTTAGTTTATCTTAAAAGTTTGTTCTTTAGGAGCAATTTCTTGAGTAAAGTCTATACTCAATGTTAGAGAAATTTATCTGTTCATTTGTTAATTTCCCAGGTGATGGGATACTCCGTCATGGATTCAGCACAAAGAGTGCCTCCTTAGAGAGAGCTGTCCCAAGTTTCCATTACACTAGGAAAAATTGAGGTCATTTCTTATTACATTCTACAGGGCACTTTGAATTTATATCACTGAGGATGGTCAGGGTACTTGATGAGATGTGGCTGAGTTGAGGGAGGAAAGACAGATGCTGGTCACATGCTTTAAATGATGGTGGCCAAGAGCAGTGACTGCTACAGCTGTTATCAGGGGCACCAGCAGTTCTCAACACAAAGCTAGAAGCTGAAAGGTCATCACCCTAAGGGCAAACAATTCAGCCAAGAATAATGTCACAAATAAAGAGTAAGCCAGTTGGAGATGGGCCCTTTCATGCTTATTATCTGCTCAATATTTCAAGTCAGTTCCAATGACTTCTCGAGCAAACATGCTTGATATTAGGATTTGGTGTTGGCCTTTCATACAAGCCCTTTAGATAGAATTTTGCCTCCTCTCAGTTAGCTGAAAATGTGCTCTCTCACAAACTATCATCAATCCAGGTACATTGTATTAAACATATACAGAATTTGACCTATGGCAAATAATGTGTTTTCTACCTCTTTGCAATTAGTGGAAATTCGAGGCTGCTCTGACAGTAAGTGTGGACTTTTGGTAGAATAGTCAATGTGGTAGTTTCTCTGGGAAGGGCAGCCTTAGTGTCTTGGAAATGGCCCTTCTCCCTGTAGTTGCCATGACTTGTGGTAGTGCTTTCAGTGCTTCTGCTTGGTTTTCTTGTGGTCGTTGGGCTGCTCCTGTTGTTACATTAACTGAATTTAGAAAGCAAGAAAGTGCTAATTGTACAAAACAAAGTGCTTAAAAAGTTCCAGAGAAAAACAAGGGGTATGCAGTACAGTGCCAGTAAAGCAGGGGAGACGGGGACAAGGTAAACTGCAGCGTGCCCTAAACCATAAGACTGACCTTTTCTTGTCTTGGCTTATTGTCTGTTCCTGTATGCAATAGGAATAGGGTGAGCATGGAATTCTCTAACAGACAAGAGACTGACCAACTAGTACCCAGAGAAAAATCTATTTACTGATGACTATGCAGCTGGCAACCTGGAGACGCCATTATCTGGCTTCATTTCATTGATAAACAAAAAACAGTAACAATAGTTTTTGGTTTCATAATCTGTCACTTCTAGCTACTCGCAGATACGTAGTGCTGAGCAGGGCATATATTAATCCACTCGCAGACGGAACATTACAGATGAAACCAGTAGAGAAGCAAGTTAGTAAAGCATTCTGGGAATGGATGGGCTTTTGCAGCATCTGCTATTCTAAACACTGAGGCTATTCTTCATTGGCCATTAGTCAGTGGAGACTTGTATTCGCTACAAAGAAGTTTCCATTTCAGAATGTTTCCAACTAAGGAGCATGCTTGTTTGCATAATCATAACAGTGTTTGATGTCAATACTGTTGTTCTGAGCCTAACATCTGCTACCTTTTATATAACTCTGGAGTTTCAAAATCAACAAGTTCTTAGATTTCCTGAGGCCTTAACACACTCAGCACTTATATTATTCATTTCAACCTTTCTAGAGTACTGTGGACAAACTCATTAAGAAGACAAACCTGGCCCTTGTGGTTGGGACAAACAGCTGGAGAGAACAGTTCATTGAAGCTATCACTGTCAGTGCTGGTGAGTGCCTTTCTCTGCGTATTATAAAGTAAAATGGCCCAATCTGAGCTGAGTTTTCCTACTGTGACTACTGGTCTATGGCAAAGCACCAAAGGGCTGCCATGGCAAAATTAAAAGAAAAAATAAGCATGTTTGTTACATACATGTGCATTTTAGAGACTCTGTAGACCATCTAGAGGAAGAAAATGCCTTCAAACATGACAGTTTTCTCTGGCTATATTGCATCTTGCTGGAAATAGACAAGATCAATTTAAAGTGTTTTGTGTCTCTAATTCACGAATAGCCCATCACTAGGCTTTGTCTGGAAAATTCCCTGTAAGCATTGCAAAGGCGGCCAAGTGAAGGTCAAGAAGAAAGCAGGAAAATCCTAGGTAGAAAGGGAAGACATTGAGACACTTGACCACTACCATCTGCATCATTTTACGCTCTCTTCAACAACATCTAACAAATAAGTGTTTGCATTGGCTCTAGAAATAGAAATAGAATTAGATTCTGTTTCTTCTCGCACAAGCAAAGTGCAGTTTTATTTAAGAAGATCCTACAAAATGAAGTATTTTTCAAAGTCAAGGAGTCAGAAACCTGAGGGAATTAAATACAGGGAGAAGCGTCCTCTTCCTGTTATTGTCAGACTCTGTCCATTCTTTGTGTGACTGTATAACCATAGAGGAAAGTCCCTCTTAAAGATTCATGAAAGCAACACTGTCCTTGGATTCTGTTTTTCTGTTCTTCTGCTCCAAATATACTCTTTCTTTAAAGATCCCTGTAGGCACATCTTCTACATTTGCAACTAATGAACAAAGGTAGAGTTTTCTAAATACCTAGTGACTCCCAAGCTGTAAAATTTGCAAACCGTGTCACTAGCAGTTGGGCCATGATTTCTAACCCAACTCCCTCTTACCAGTCTACCACAGGGTAATTTGACACATCTCCCAAGTGCTGTGGGAACGGAGGGTAGTAAAAATTTTGTGCCTGCTTATTATTAGTGCTGTTTATAATCTTGCTTTGGTTTCTTGCAATTGAGTATACACTGGGAATTTATGAACATTAAATGGTGGGTAACTGCTCAGAAGAGTAGATTTGGAATTTGCATATAAGCTCTAAAAGGAGGGGGAAATTTCCTTTTATTTCTTATGTTTTAAGATTAATATGTGAGGCACAAGCTATATTCCTTCTTCACAGAGAGAAAAGACACAAATTACTAGTTTAGGAAACTGCTGATGGAGCCAATAGTAGAAAACATTAAAAATGAACACACTTTTATGGGTTTTGACGTATCAGAATGGAAACATTAACAGCATTATAAGCTTGGTAGTGAGCCATTTCTAGCTTTTCTTAGCTGCGGGTATATGAGCATTTGTGTAACACCCATAAGCTGGTCATCATTCCTTCATTTTTCTGTGTCGATTATTGTTCTTGGTGCAAAGCAAGTGACAGTGAATAAAACAAATACCCCTGCCCAAGCGGAGCTTACAGCCTAATGGAGGACACGGTAAATCAGACAGATAAATTAAAATAAAGCATATTTATGATGGTAAGTTTGTCATGGAGAAAAGCAAAGCTGCGGTGGGGAATGGGAAATATGTAAGGGTCTGCAATTTCAGAGAGATAGCTGGGAAGACCCCCTCAACAGACATATGAAGGCCAAATTTGCTTTTCTAGCAGTGGAGTGGTTTATGTTGGTTCATTCACATAGTTGTGTGACTCTCAGGGAAATATTTTATGACCAGTCTGTAGCAATAGAAAGGGCAGCTTTAAACAGTGAGTGGGAGTATGCTGCCCACAAGGCCAGTGTCATGTATTTGATTCTGGTGAGAATAGATATACAGAGAAACAACTATAAAGACGTTAATACTGACTTACTTAAAAGAGGTGGATTTTGACTTGCAAACAGTTTCATATGTTGTGTTGCATGACATCCTCTTACTATTATAACTATCCTGATCTTACTGAGGAAGAATCTGAGCCTGAGAGGCAACATGGCTTTAGAACATAGCTCAGATCCCAGATCTACTGGAAACTAGTCCAGTTTGCTATCTACAGCCCTTTAGAAAGAAGGAAATTCTGGTCGGGTATGGTGGCTCATGCCTGTAATCCAGCAATTTGGGAGGCCAAGGCAGGCGGATCACCTGAGGCCAGGAGTTCAAGACTAGCCTGACCAACATAGATAAACTCCATCCCTACTAAAAATTCAAAAAAATTAGCCTGGTGTGGTGGCACATGCCTGTAATCTCAGCTACTTGGGGAGGCAGGAGAATCACTTGAACCTGGAAGGCAGAGCTTGTGGGAGCCAAGATCACGCCATTGCACTCCAGCCTAGGCAGTAAGAACGAAACTCTGTAAGAAAAGAAAAAGAAAAAGAAAAAAGAAAAGAAAAGAGGGGAAGGAAGGAAGGCCGGCCAGCCAAAATGAGGAAAATGGCTCCCTACTCTGTCTCACAGACAGAGAGACTGGCCGTGTCGTGTCACTTGTGGCCATGGTGTCATCATTTCATGATGGGACTAACTCCTGCCCAGATATTTTGAAGAACTGTTAATAATTGAGATGCAAGACCTCTCAAATGTTCTTATATGTCATACAAAATATTGTGCTTCATATTTCTAAATGACTGCTTGGAAATAAGGCACAATTGCTTAGAAATTCGCAAGCTGCTGGGTAAATTGACCTTATTTACAATTCTGAGATACAGTGTATCAGAAAAGCAAACCCATGTTTTAAAAGCACCAAATTATGCTCAATTACATGAAGGACAGTTTTAAAAGTTCAGTATTTGTCATTATGATTAAATTTAAGTGTCTAAAGAATGTCATATTCTCAGGTTGTTACACGGGCAATAACATTTGTAAAGCAGCATTTATTGAAGTCAGCCTTTCATTGGATTTTAAAATTTCATAGCTAAATAGTTGAGAGTCAGAAAGATTTGCCTTATTACAAATATTAAATTGCTTTTAAAGGGCTCTACTGAGAGTTTTCTTTGCTATGCAATTTTCTGTGCAAAATTGACTCAGTATATCTTGCTAAACAAAAATAATAATTTTGTAAATAGGGGTTTGCTTTTCTTTCTCAGTAACTGTATTCAAACAAGTTTCAAAGCCAACCCTGTGGTAATATTCTTGTCCCTCTGTTTTTTCTGAATCTCATAGCTCAGTACTTGGGCTTCCTCTGACCATAATGCTTCTGCAAACCAAGTTCTTTTAATTCCATATTTGAAGAGTTCAAGGATTTATGAGACTGGAGAGATTTGGAAGGGATTAGGCGGAAACATCCTGGCAGTTCTCCTTCTGTTTCTTCCTGGTTTGAATACTAGGTGCAGTGGGTGCTGCAGTTCAGTGGCTGTCAAAAGCTTGCAAGGCAAGTCCAGTAACACGAGGTGCTGTTAAGATGTGCCAGCATATGCCCTTTTCAATGAAGCCAGCCTTCACTGACCCGTTTGAATTTTTCTCAAATGTCTCTCCTTCTACCAGGGCAGAATGGTCGGTTGACTTTTAGAAATCATGTGCTAGCTGAGATGTCCAGAGAAACCAGTGTGTCAGAGAAGAGGGCAAACATTAGCTGGGTAAAGGGAACCAGGTGCCAATGCCAGTTCCACAACCACCACATTGTTCTTCACAATAGCTTTCGGCAGAGGCGAGGCGAAGTTGAGAATAATTGCAAGGCTGGCTTTGGAGACAGATGTGGTTTTGTGTCCCTGCCCTGCAGAAACTCCCTGGATGACTCTAGGAAGATTATTACACTTCAAGATCTCAGTTTGCTTACACCTCAGAATCTGTTTGCTCACATGTAAAGTAGAGATAACTGCGCTTCATTCACGGAGCTGCCATAAGGATTAATTAAAATAGTGTGCATTTTCACAAAGGCAATCTGTACATGTAAATACCAAAGCTGGAATATGAAACCCCATCACTGTGAGTCTAATGCCAGTAGGCTTTCAGCTTGATCCTAGTGTTCCTCCAACAACTTTAGGTCTCAGGTGCTCACATTTTAGATGAGTTAATTCTGGACAAAAAAGATGAAGTTAACAAGTCTTTAATCTCAGTTACACATGGGAAAGGTAAGGGTTTGGAAATGAGTGTGCAAGCCTGGGACAGAAGTGCAGAAGGACCAGGAAGAATAGAATCCGTCCTAGAAAGTAGGCAGGATCAGCAACTGGATTTCCTAGAAAGTCCAGACTAAATCCCATCATAAGGAATGCACAGGAACTTCCAAATTGTTTTTGTGATGTAGGAATTATATTTATATCTGGAGCTAGAAATTGTGTCAGGTCTTATGAAACAAAATGGAATCAATGCCCAGCCTTTTCTCCAAGCTCCTGGTGTTTCTCTGTGATATTCTTAGTTATCTAGGTAGGTTGTTTTATGGTTAGAATCACTGGAATGCTTGAAAAAAATAGGAACAAAGGTCAAATAGCGATTATTTGAAACCAACAGGAGACATGAATAACACTGCTGCCATCCAACTTAGCTTTTATTCCTTGTTTCAGGGTAGAGCTAAAATATTCACATTCTCTGTGATAGAGAGTACATATAACATGGATGACAAATAATGTGTTTAAATTCTTGAAATTTTATATTGGATCTTTGGCTTCTCTGGATACTTGGGTTCAAATGGTCAAAGAGCCACCAGTTAGATATGGGGCTCTGGAAGATCTCTAACCTCCTCTGAGAATTAGAAGAGATGAACTGTGAGTTGTCTTTAGGATGTGAAAATACTCAAGGTTCTCTTAAAGGACCCTTTATTTTCATAAATAAAATGTCAACCTGCTTTTCATGTAACTGCTATTTGAAATTTAGAGTTCTAATTGATCACACAAATTATTGACTATTATACTTCACAGGTATGTTTAGATTATCCAGTCCACCCTTGTATATGATAATTTTTTTAAATGTAATATAGTTCTTTACATTTTAGATTCTTTCTCAGTTCGAAATGTACTGACAAAATTGAATTTGGAAATTTGAAATCTCAGGGATAGTCTCTATTTAAAAAAAAAAAAAACAAAAACA